AAAAAAAAAAAAATCCATACAAAAGAATACTTTAAAACCAAATCAGCGTCACGGGCCGGTCACCTTAGTAACGAAACCATTCACGAGCGCCAACGCATTGCTCGTCGCCTCCCTAGCCCACAACGCCCGGTCACGCACGGCCACCTTCACGGGACAGTCGTCCACATCATCAAACCCGTCGGTGCACGTGTCCTCGTTGGTGAGGGCAGCGCTCATCCACGTCTGCACGTTGTTGACCTCGAACCTCAGCCGCTCGCCGTTCCCCGTCAGGCCGCGCATCTGCCCTAGAGATTCTCGTATCTGGTCGACCGCGTCCTTGAACACCGACAGGCAGTCCCGGAGGGCGGCGGCGGCCCGGGGGTTTGGCCCGTAGTCGGCCCGTCCGGTGAGGTTGCGCAGATACGCCGACGTTCGGGATGCGCTCGATAGGCTGACGCGGACGGCAACAGCGGCGAGGCGGGCCGGGTCCCGGCGGACGGCGACGGCGTAGCGAGAGAGGGAGTGGTAGCAGAGGTCGGGGTAGAGCGTGTTGCCGCAGCTGGTGCGGATAAATTCGGTGGCGGCAGGGATGGTGGTGGCGGAACACGCCGGGATGAGGAGGATGGTTAGTATGAGTGAATGCAACATTTTCATGGCCTAACTAAAGCTGAAAAGTGTGTTTTAGTGCGTTTAGAAGTGTGTGTATGCTTTTGTGCGAGAGATGTGTTTGTGTTTATGAGAGATAGATGGGAAGAAAATGCGGCTGAATTAACGGGATGAATCCCCCTATATATTAATTAATATTAATTAATTAATACTATATATTAATATTAATACAGATCGCGTTGAGCCTATTGGCTGCTTCGGAATCCTATTTGGCAAAATTACATGCTTCGTTATTAGACTTGGATAAATTTTAATTTAATTCCAAACCAAAAAATAATTAGGTTCGGATTACCATAAATATATTGATTATTTATGGTCATGTTACATGTATTAATTGTATTTTAATATCATTCCTTATTATAACTATTAAATTGTATATATATTTTGAAAATTAATAATTTTTGTATTTTTTATCAGTTTTACATATATAATATATCAAATTAATCTTCTTTTGATGAGCTTCGATTTAACATCCATATTGTATGTATAAAAAAATTATATTTATCTTTATAACAATAATAAAATTATTGTTAATATTAATTAGAAAAATAAAATTATTTATCAACTAATATATTATATTTCAAGTAGTTATATGATATCTATATCTATATAAATATAAAAAGGTTTGACATTTACCTGAAAATGTAATTATTTTCCCGCCTAAATAATTTGTTTTTACTTTTATTAGTAACTTTTTAAAATATTTTTGAAAAGTGGCGCCAATTATTTAAAATTCAGATTAAAAATATCTTTGTAATTAAAGTATAGAATCATGTTGGTAAAATAAATTTTTTAACAATATCGTGTATATATGGTTGGTTGTCTAGATATAGGAAATAATGATAACATTATGGTTTTTAGGATGATTTTTGGTAAAACCATAAAAGATTTTGGATAAGTGCTTATGAGATTTGTTTAAGATCATATATTCAAATATAATATTTTATATTTAAAAGGAAATAAATTTCGTATGTATATAAGGGATACAATGAAATGAGGTCATTTGTAGATCTCATCATCTAAACAAAAAATATATTATTGTATTAAATAAAATGATAATGTAAGAACATATATTATGATACCTATTATTATTATTCCATTTGTTTAAGTTGTAACTAATTTATATTAACTAATTTTGATTTGGAATGGTAAATTGTTACTATAATTCTAAAATCCTATCTTAGAATGAATATATGGTTGGATTTAAAAGATAAGACATCTATTATAAATAAAGATTATTTTTACTATTGTTGAAAATCAAAAATATTATGTTGAAAAATTAAATCCCACGTCAACGTAGTAAAATTTTCATTCAAATATTCGTTCTAATAGGATAGAATAATGAGTTTTTTTTTTTTCAGTTGCAGTAAATTTAGAATGGAAAAATAATTTCTACAAAAGCGTAATTTCTGGTAACAAAATATATTAATCAAACTAATGATGTACTTTTTTTCTAGACAAAAAAAAAAATAATAAAAAAATACCACGTGTTGTATTTTAATTAGTCAGAGTTGGTGGAAGGAAATAAAATCTACACGTGGAACATAAATTGTCACTAAAACGTATTATAAGAATGAAATAAAAAATCTATACTTATTTTCATATGATATTCAAAAATTTGAATTAAAATTAATTTAAAATTTCAGAATTAGTAAAAATTAAATTTTTAGTCGGGATTCTCCTAATTATTTAATGTAAATCCTTAGAACTTTTTCTATTAGTATATATAGATTTAAATGTAGTTTAATTTCAAATTTTCATCCATTTAATTTGATATTTGGGTGAAAATTTTACAACTATCTCTTAATTTATCAATTAGGTCATGTTATTAAAAAAAATGTAAGATTTTAAAACTTGAAAATAATTGTAAACAACTCATAACTTAGTTCATAAATTCACTTTATTAGATAATATGTTAAAGTCAACGTAGTTTTAAGTAATAGATTTTGTAATTTTTATACACTAGGCTTTACCTTAATTATGCTGAATTGAAACATGGTAATAATATTTGTTTTAAAATGGTTAAATATGTTTGTTTGTCCAAATTCCACGTTTAATTAATTAGGGACATATTATTTGCAGATTTGATTCAACCAATCCTTCAAATGAGATCATGGTTAATCTTCAAAAATAAATATCTATAAGTTGCTCTATATATATGGAAGAAATTTTGGAGATCATGTATTCGTTAATTACCTTTTGATTAATGGTATTAAAAAAAGTCTTTTATATGGAAGGAAATTTCGATAGTGTATATTGGAAAAATAACTATGTTATTTATGTTATGATTTAGAGTATTAAGAAGAATCTTTAATTAGCCCAAAAGGTATTGATACATTGGTTTATGGTATCTAATATGATAAACAAATGAGTTCACGATTAATATAAAAAAAAAAAAAAAAAAACAATAAAGAAAGTATAATATTTGTAGTCCAAATTTAATTTTCAAATTAGTAATTATTCATGACTTACGGGCATAGACAGAGCCAAAGAAGGCCCAGGGGCCCCCCTCATTTTTTTTTTTTTAAAATGTATATATATAATCAATAATATATATAAAATCTATAAAATATGTATAGAAAAATGCAAAAATTATATACAATATATTAGTAACTAAAATTTATTTCTTTGCTATTTTAGTTTAAAATAATATTTTTATATTAAAAAATGTACTGACAATAGTTATATTTTGCATTTCTAGATATACTTTTGAAAATATTTATAATGATCTACACTTTCGGTCTCTTAATTGTAAATTAATTTATTGATTTATAAAACTAAGTATTTAGTTCGATTGTTACATTTATGAATATTGATTTTTTACCTTTTTTGTGTAATCACATATTTTTAACTTTATTAATATAAATCAATTTAGTTATTTATAAAACTGAGTATTTAGTTCGATTGTTACATTCATGAATATTTAATTTTCCCTTTTTTTGTATAATCAAATATTTTTAACTTTATTAATTTTTTTTAAAAAAAATTATAAGCTCTCAACAAAAATGTTATGCAAAAGTACAATTTAAATTAATTTTTCCAACCAAAAAAACTTATTTTTCCATAAATTATAGATGTTGCACTTAAATTATAAATACATGAAAGATTCTTTTTTTTTTTTAAGTTTGAGGGTGATACGTATTCTAAGTATTTAAAAACACAATGGTAAACATATATATATATATATATATATATATATATATATATATTTATAGTAAATACATTTGTATATGAAATGAGTGTTTCGACTTAAACTACATTACTTAACATTTAAAATTGGACCCCCTGAGTTAAATTTCTAAATCCGTCACTGCTTACGGGTCAATATTAACTTGAAGGTAATTGAAATAGTCAATTATTTATATTTTAATATTTCTCAACTACATAATTTTTTTATTTAGATAGCTTATACAAAAATAATAACATTTTAATTCAAGAAACAATATAAACTTTTATAATTATACTTATTATTCATATAAATTTTTATATATAGGATAAAATTTTACAAAAATAATTATGTTATGGAATTACATTGTAGTCAAGTTGAATTTCTGAATAAAAATGTTTAAAATGACACTTATTTCGAAATGAATACAAAGCTATTTATTACCAGTCATGTGCACAATCGTGGGTTGTGTACTAATTTTTGATCTAGACATGTTTTATGTAATTTTTCACAATTTAAACTTCATATAAGGTTTTTGATAAATTAATATATGTAATTTTTACTTATAAATATTATTTAATGAATATTTCTAATTTATAAATATTAATGAATATCTCTTGCCCGTGCATCGCACGGGATTCGTACTAGTAAGTTATAAAAACTATTATAATATAACGCATGTAAGTCATAAGTAACTCATATCATTCTAAAATATATAGTAATATATTTTTTTTTTTAAAAAAAAAAAAGTAAACTAAATTTAATATAGTTTTCTCATTAATTTTAAAATTTAAGAATAATTTTTCAACAAACACACCCGTATAATACACGGGTGTTTACTAGTATTTATATATGAGGAGGTTTTGTTTAACCGCAAAGTGTTGACTCGGGTAAAGTGATGATCTGACTATTTTGCCCTTGAGACGAGACCGGGAAAGATGATTTTGTTTCCGTAGTGGGGGCGCAAGAAAAGCCTAAAAATTTCCATCATTATCATTAATCTTTTTCCTTTGAAATCTCATCAATTAACAACACACTTTCGAACATCTCCAATGCTTTAATAGTTGTAAAATAATTTTTGACAAATATCAATATATTAAATGAATTGTGATACATATAGGAAAAATGTTAAGCTTATAACTATGAGATTAAAAAATTATCTTTAATGCACAATGTAGTCTAACTACAATTCTATTTACTTACCAAATATAAAATTTTATAATTATTAATAAAATAATTAAATTGTTTGGAATTGGTAATAATTATTCTCTCTCTTCTTTTCATTGGCTAGCTAGAATGTGGAGGACAATGTGGATGAACTACATTCTTCTCTATCTTGTAGATATTAATTATGTACACATCATCACAACATTTCTGATCACACTGTGCATTGGATCATGAAAAGTTGTCATGTTGCTAAATGTGTTGATGTGAAATGTAATTTCCACAACAATATTTGAGCATTAGAGATGCTCTTAATCAATATTGTCGGAACCCAATATGTCTATTACTGTAATCAACTTTTGATTATCTGGAATATTCATTAAATTTTTGGTATGTTTTTGCGGTTTTAATTTGAATGAAAAAGAAGGATAAAGGCATAAATGAGGGAGATGGAAATAAGGAGAGGAGAAAGACGTGGAGAGGGGAAAGAGGGGAAATGTAACTCGACAATATTTTTCATGTTACAATGTTCGGTATTGATGAATATATAGCCATACTTGATACCTTTGGGGGATAACAGACCACTCCGTTTTATAAATGAGTTAAGTCTCTGGGTACTAATGTTGTCCTGACACAAACTGACTCGGTATAT